ATCTTCCCGCCATACCCTGTAGCCTGCCCTGTGCCCTTGGAGCTGCTAACTGAGGAGGTAAGCTGCTCCCAGCATCTTGGGGGAAGGTGACCACAAATATTGGTAAAGGTGATGGATTACTATCTTGGTAGGTGGCTGCCATTCCCACCAAAGCCATCATGTGAGCATAGTAGTTACAGAAGTTGTCCAGCAGATGGCAGTAAAGTGCCTAGAGAACGTGACCCATTAACTCAAGGGTGACACTTGGGCTACTTGCTTTGAGGGAGAAAGGCAGGGGCTTTAGTTATTTCAGAGGAAGCAAAGACTGCTGGCTGTGCTAGGCAAGAAGCGCTTGCTCTCTCTAGTCCTCAGCCAGTAGGACAGTGCACTGGACTGTGTCATGGGCAGCACACCTCACACTGTCCACAGAGCAGGGTCTTCACAGGGCCTATCCACACTCACCATCCCATTGCCCTCAGCCCTAAGTAAGAGCATAAGCATGGGTGTGCTTATCTTTCCGATGTAGATACAGAGAGGCACAGGGGTGGCCTGACATGAACAGCAGAGCCGGAGTAGAGGCACTACCTGGCCCTATTACACCCCAGCTCTGACTGATTCAAACGCTTGGGCCCCAAAGAGCCTTTTTCCTGCCTGCCTGTGGCTGTTTCTGGTATCCTGGATGTCACCTTTACCTGGGGGTGATTGTGTTCTCAAACGGGTAGCTAGCAGGTGTCAGTAACCAAGCCCAGTTTCTTCTTGGGCTTTAGTTACTCTCCAGGGAGGCGATTTCTGCCTCCTCTCCCCACTCCCAATGCGACCATGAATGCTACACACCTCCACCTGCAGGCTCAGTCCAACATGGGACTTTCTGTGCTACTCATCGGTGACTGGGCTGTGGTGAGCTGCAGACCACCTGCTTGACTGACAGCCTTCCTTCTGCTTCTATTGTCCCCAGAAGTCTTACTTCTCCACTGTGAAGGTCATCTACACCACAGGCCACAGCATCTCCATCGTAGCCCTCTGCGTGGCTATTGCCATCCTGGTTGCTCTCAGGTTTGCTATCCTTGTCACGTGCTCGGTAAGCTTCATTGACTCCCTCCTGTCTGGGGGCCAAGGCTAGTTCTTTGCCTGGATGGTCGGGAGGGGCTCAAAGCTGGGCTCAGATCTAGGCGAGTGGACCACTGGTGACATCTTGCCTTTTTGCCAATGTGTGGGTCATCTCCACACATGCCACAACTCAGTTCTGTGGCCACACCTTTGCTCATATGGAGCTCAGTCTGTTTGCAGTGCCTTCTTTTTCTTGGTGTGTTCACTCTGCCAACACTGGAAGAATCCTCCTTGTCCCCGTATGACACCCATTGATGGTTGCAACCTTCTGAGCAGTATAGTACCTTTTGGTTTGGGTTTCAGGATTGGGGATTGAATCCAGGGTCCTCTGCATGGGCTCTACCACCAAGCCCACGCCCCATGCTCAGCCCTTACTACTGGATGCAATGGCTTTCCAGCCTGGAAAGGCTGAATTTCCCATGGGGCTGTGCCTCTGATTACCTAGAGCCTTCCCTAGGTCTGCTAGGCTGTGGCCGCCTCCGCACCCACAATTACATTGCTATCTGAAGGCGGGGTTCTAGTCACCTTGCTCCTGTACTTGAACCTAGCCCAGGAGGATGCCGGCCTGCTGACCTTCGGGGTCAGACTGACATACTGTTTGCTTCTACTCAGTTCTTTGGGTTTGATTTTATTTGATGTGGCATTGGCTGCTTTGAATGTGCTCATTTCTGCCTAGCTACCCAGCCATGCCAGGCCTATTATAGGGCGCTGGAAGCTCTTTTGCAGCCAGACCCCTCTATTCCTCTCTCCTGTCCCCTCAGGAGGCTCCACTGCCCTCGGAACTACATCCACATGCAGCTGTTTGCCACCTTCATCCTCAAGGCCAGTGCTGTGTTCCTGAAGGATGCTGCCCTCTTCCAGGGTGATAGCATGGACCACTGCGGCTTGTCCACTGTAAACGCTGTGGCCGGAGGGCCTTGGGGCAGGGGGGAGAGGGCACAGGCACAGCCACACAGGCTGACCCTGTACTCATGGCCAGTGACAGTTGAAGGAAGCCTCAAGTTTCCCCCACACACTCAAGATCACGGTGTCAGTCTCAGCTGCTCCCTGTTGCCGGGCCACCATTCCTCTTTCCTCCATGCTCCCGTCTGAGCTGGCCACAGCAGCTCCTGTGCCCATCCAGTCATTTCATTGCCTTTAATGTGTCCAGGAGCACCTAGGGGACAGAAAGCACCCAGATCTGGGGACCAGTGGGTGGAGAAAACTGAGAACTAAGACAACAAAAGGCTTCAAGGAGGAGGTGGCCTTGGAGAGACAGGGAGAACGCTCGCAACGGCAGGAGAGTCTGGGGCAGAACCAACGAACTGAAAGTTGCACGTGGAGGGGCAGGGGAAGGAGAGGAGAGGAACAGATTGGAAACTGACTGGGTCAGAGCTCAAGGTCTTTGAAAGTGTTCTGGAAATGAATGGACAAGTGACTTCCCAGAGCAACAAGTGGTCTGATTTAATTAATGAATTGATTACTGAATGTGAGGTGCTCTTATTTAGGCCGGGCAGCACACCAAGTACTTTGCATGTATTATCTCCTTTGATCTTAAAATGCCTTGAAAGCCTCACTTTAATCCCATTTTGTTAACAAGGGGCATCTGACCAGGTCACCCATCCACACAGTCAGGGAATGGATAGAGGCAGCTGGGCTGGCTCAGAGGCGATACTGTGGCCTACATAGGTAGGTGAGGGAGCAATGCAGATGGTCACATGCACAATGACAACATTCTATATTCGCAGACCAGAGCTGTGCATGGATAACCAGGCCATGGTTATCACTCTAAAGAGGAACTTCAGCTTAGGAAGGGCATAGGAAAGAGAGCAGGTCTTAGTGACCCTGAGACAAGGCCATGAGAGATCCTGGAGTTCTTCCTTGCACAGAAAACACTGAGGCTGAGGTGGTTTACATTTTTGACAGAGGGTACACATGAACCTGTATGTCCTCTGTCCATCACAAATATACTGTCAAATTCCTTTTGGGACAGACCAAGGAATGGAGTGGTCCAGCCCAGAGTGGAGGGGAGGGACCTGTGGGTTTGGGTCTCACTGGGGTGAAAGAGCCCCAATGGGGACTGAAGTGGGGGCCAAAGCTCTGAAGCATCAGCCCCCTGCTTCCAGATCCTGTGTAAGGTCTCTGTGGCCATCTCCCATTTTGCCACCATGACCAACTTCAGCTGGCTGCTGGCAGAAGCTGTCTATCTGAGCTGCCTGTTGGCCTCCACATCGCCCAGGTCCAAACCAGCTTTCTGGTGGCTGGTTCTTGCTGGCTGGGGTAAGCATCAAGGGCTCATTGGCCCCCATAGGAGAGGTGGAGGCTGGGAAGGCCCAGGAGCTCATAAAGAGGTCTTTCTCATTGTGGGGGGCCCTGAGGCCCAGGGAGAGGAAGGGATGGGTCACTGTCCCGTACTGAGCATTGGGAAGTAGACCAGATCTCCCTAAGCCATTGTCTGGTCCCCACCATTGCCGTCTGCACATGGCTAACAGACTGGTGGGAGGTGGGGGCTAAACTCAAAGCAAAGGATGTTGGGCACTCGCTCACCCCAGTGTTGCTCACCCGCAGGGCTCCCTGTGCTATGCACTGGTACCTGGGTGGGCTGCAAACTGGCTTTCGAGGACACTGCGTGAGTAGAGCAACCCCTTACCTCCAAGCTGTCAGCCGGGCATGTGGAAGACCATCTAAGGAGGAGGAGGAGGAGGAGGAGGAGGAGGAAGAGGAGGAAGATAGAAACCCTAGCTTAGAGTGTCACAGGTGCACAGGCTGCTGGTAGTACAGAGCGGGCAGGGGCTCAGGCAGGAGAGGCTGCTGGAGCTGTGTATCTCAGGAGAGCTGCCCTGAGCAGGCCTTTTACGGGAGGGGGAATGTCTGGACAAGGATGAGAAGAGTCAGATAGCCTTCCCTGGGGCTCTCCTATGGAAAGGCTAAGAGAGAAGATCAGACGAGAGTGAGATAGAGTGAGGCTGAAGGCTTTAGCACTGAGAGGAAACGGGCGCCTTCAAGCACAGGCTGTTTTCTTTCCCAGGTGCTGGGACCTAGACGACAGCTCCCTCTACTGGTGGATCATCAAAGGGCCCATAGTCCTCTCTGTTGGGGTCAGTCTCTGATGTCTTTTGTCTTAATCAGACAGCCTCCAGGTTTCATTGTATGGTCCTGCATGGGTGGCGGTATGACTACCCGAAGGAAATCAGGAAACTGGTGCCTAGCTTCTCTGACAGCCTCTGTGGGCCACAATCCCTGGTTGGTTTGACAGGTCCTAGACCTGTTTTCTAGTTTCTTTGAGTCTGGGTTGCAGAGCATCTCTTGCTGGGTGGTAAGTGATAGTGGATGGTACCTACAGGTGAGCACTCAGTTGCTCCTACTTCTGATGTGGCATGGCTCCTGTGACTGTGTGATTTCTTCCCAACTGAGGAACTGCCCAGTGATAGGCAGCTGCTTTATACCTGAGTGACCCTGGGAGGTGGCTGGAGGGGGGTAGCCAGACCTGACTCTCACCCTTGCTGCCAGGGCTAGAGAGGGAGGAGAGCCCTCAGTCTTCCTTTGACTTGCATCTCACAGGCTTGAGGTTCCTAGTCACCAAAGGGGCTGGGCCATCAAGTGCTGCCTCTGACCTTTGCATCCATTTTCCTGTGCCTCATTTCCAGGTGAACTTTGGGCTGTTTCTCAATATAATTTGCATCCTGCTCAGGAAACTGGAGCCGGCACAGGGTGGCCTCCACACACGGGCTCAGTACTGGTAGTGTGTGTGTGTGTGTGTGTGTGTGTGTGTGTGTGTGTGCATGTTGTATATTTGAGGAACCCTCATGGAAAGTATTTGGAGGGGATGACATTTGTTTTTGTCTCATCTGGCAGCTATTTATTACCCTGGTCCTGTCCTCTTCCTTATGTCCCCTAGAGAGACAACAGATCTGGCACCTGCCTCCCATGAGATCACAGTGTAGGAAAGTGGGACACAAAACTGTCAGTTACCATGGCAAATGGCTGACAAGTGCTGTATCTGTCTCTATGGGGGCCTGGAGAAAGAGATTATACCTAGATGGGGGAAAGGGAATTAGAGAAGGCTTCCTGGAAGGACCAGACTTTAAAGATGTATGTAGACTCTGGAGTAGCTGGAATAACCATATGGCCACAGCAGTGGGACGGGCCTTAAAGTAAAGAAGCCCGGAGATTTGTGGGGAGGACAGTCTCCAGGGTGGATGGTGGTGGGCAGCCTCATGATCTGGAAATTGTCCTCTCCAAGGCGACTTTCCAAGTCAACACTTCTCCTTATACCACTGTTTGGGATTCATTACATCATCTTCAACTTCTTGCCTGACAGTGCTGGCCTTGGCATCCGCCTACCCCTGGACCTGGGGCTGGGACTGGGCTCATTCCAGGTGAGACCCCCCCCCCCCGCCCACACACAGGCATTCCTTCCTTCCAAGGACTGTGACAGCAGGCCTTGATTAACTTCATGTTAGGGTGAGGCCTACTATTACACGTCATCGGTTCAATTTTCCATCCATCCATCCATCCATCCGTCCATCTTCTGTTTTCCCTTTCATCTCTCTACTCATCCATCCATCCGTCTATCCCCAGATATTCATTCACCCACACATGTACCCATCCATCCACCCATCATCTATTATCCATTAAATAATTCAGCACTATTTCTTCCTTCCAATCAGCCCCATCTACCTCTCCATCCACCTACTCATCCATCCATCATTTATTATCAGTTGATTGATTGATCTGCCCACCCACCCATCTATCCTTCCATTTTCTTTCTTTCTTTTCTTCCCTTCTTTCCTCCTTCCTTCCACCTGCCCCACTCTCTCCTGCATCTTTCCACCCACTCTTCATCAATCCTTCCATCTATCTGCCCACCCATCCCTAGATCCATTATTCCCTTTATTCCTCTTCTTTCAGTCCACTTTCCTACCCATTAATTCCTCTTTCTACTCATCTGCTCATCCAGCCTTCTATCCATATCTCCCCCACTTCTCCATCTATTCATTGATCAGCCATCTGTCCTTCCTTCTTTCCATCCATCCATCTACCCACCCATGCTCCCGTCTAACATCCATCCATATATCAGTCCTTCATCTAGTCCTCCTTCATTCTGTCCACTTGGCCATATGGTTATCCTTCTTTACATTCATCTGCCCATCCATCCATCCATCCATCCATCCATCCATCCATCCATCCATCCATATGTCCACCCACCTATCCATCTCTCCTTCGTTCCTTCCTTCCTTCCTTCCATCCTTCCTTCCTTCCTTCCTTCCTCTTTCCCATATGTCCATTCATCCATCCATCCATTTATTTATCCATCATATCTTTTCAACTGAGTATCTATCATGTATCAGGTTGTGTACTCTTTAATGCAGATACAAAAATAAAGATGCACAGTGAGATGGGGCTATCTACACAACCCCGGCAGACATGACTTGGCATGTCTGGTGCACAGTGAGTGGTGAGTGAGGGAGAAAGCAATAGACTGCCAAGTTTCAAGGTTAAGCTAAAGCGTCCTTGCTTCCTCTTTGATTCCACAGGGCTTCATTGTTGCTGTCCTCTACTGCTTCCTCAACCAAGAGGTATGTGTGCTCCCAATGGCTCACCTTTACTCAACATGTAGAATTTCTCCTCAGTCTTCTTTTTTTTCCCCCAGCCCTGTAAATCCCAGCTAGGCTGAATCCCATAATCCTCCACTCTTGTGATCCCTTGTGGGAACAGGTCCTGAGCTCTTGAATCAATTTGAACCTGAATACTGTCTAAACACCTTGTACACATCCCTACTCTGAGCTGGGATAGGTGCTACTACCAACTCATGACATGGAGGAGGCCTTTCAGGAGCCAAGGAAGGGTGGAGGACAAGGTAACTCAGTTGGTGGACAGAGAATGAAAGATCAGAGACAGGAACCAGGAAAGTCAGAGGTTGATATAGAAGGAACTGGGGGGAAAAGCATCAGACACAGAGATGGGAAGAGCCAGAGCAGAACAGGAAACAGAAAAACTCAGAAGAAAGGGAATCTGGACTAAGATGCCAGAAGTGGAAGGCAGAGGTGGAGCAAGAAGACAGAATAAAGGCCATGGCACACGTGGGACTACAGGAGAAGACGGGCTGCTGAGAAGAGACGGTCACCCCGAAGATACTGTGGGTTCTCCTCCTGTGAAAGCCTTGCTGTATGGAGACAGGGAGAATGCAGCCGAGTCCAGACCCTCCAGGACTCTGGCAGTGTGCACATGCAGGGTCACGGATCCTCCTGATGGCCCTGTATTTGCCATGGGTGCTTGATTGGATGAGACCTGGCCAACTCCTGCCCTATTTCTCTACTGTTGAGACCTTCCTTCCTTCCTTCCTTCCTTCCTTCCTTCCTTCCTCCCTCCCTTTTATTCTTCCTCTAATCTGCCCACCCACTCATCTTTCTTTCTATCCATCTGTCTATACATCCTGTTCTTTCTGCCACCTCTGTCCCCAATTGACCTTCTCCCTCTCTGACTCTCAGTACACCCAACCTAGTCTCTGAGGCTTACTCAGCCTTATCTGTGATATATAGCAGTCCCATGGGTCCTGGGAGCCCTGGAAGGGGTGGGGTAAGAAGTAATCCCACTGAGGTGAGTTCAGCCTGGGAAAGGAGTTCAGACAGAAAGTAAATTGTGATGGGTTCTGTTTTATTTGGACACGAGTGGTCACTTACTTTTGGTAGCAGGGAACTCAGTTCCTTTCAATTACACCTTCTACTTTCAGGGCAGTTCTGGGAAGCTCTTTCTTCCCAGAACAGGGACCAGTGTCCCCTTTCTCCCTCATACAGCCCCAGACTAGCTATCAGGCAGAATGTCTCTCTGCTCCCTCTATCCCTCAGCCAGACACAGATACAAACTGCCCCTCTCCCTCCTCCCAGCGCTCTCTCTTCAGCCACATCCACTTTTCTCCAGGACTTGAACTTTAAGACAAGGGTGGATCAAAGTCACTCAGAGAGGACCATCTGGTTATTGGGTCAGGAGGCACAGAGGGCACCCACGTGTTTGACTGGCCTCAGACAGAGCAGTGCTGATAGAAAGAGAAAGTGTTAAAGGCAAATGCCAGAAATACTCCAAGGAAGGGGGGAGCACTGTCCTCCAGAGGCTGCACTTGACCAGGCTTTCCTCGCCTACACTGTTTCTCCTCTATCATCTCTCCCTGCACCTTTAGTCTTCTGGGGTCCAGCTGAGCAGCGGCAGTGGGACCTTTCTAACGTTCTCTCCTTTGTCTGTGGAGGTGAGGACGGAGATTTCACGCAAATGGTATGGCCACGATCCTGAACTTCTGCCGGCTCGTAGGACCTGCACTGATTGGACCACACCTCCCCGATCGAGAGTGAAGGTGCTGACCTCAGAGTGCTAGACCAGCCATCCCTGTACTCAAACTGCCATGCCACCATGGGCACCATGGGCAAGGCGATGCTCCCTCCTGTTCTCAGCATCTGCCTTTCCTAGGTCCCTGTACGTCAACCTCTGACTTTCTCATTACTGTCTTTGCCCCCATCTGTTCTTTCCTGCCATCTAGGGCTGTTGCCCAAGGCCCAGAGAAACCAATAAGCTTGTACACGAATGATCCGTGGTTGAGTCAATGTGGTTCCAAAAGGGAGCTCTTATAGCAGCCATTATTTGCACTTCCGGTGCATTCCTCATCCTTTGGCTCCAGCTGCCTTATCACCATTTGTCTCTACAAGAATTCTCATGTTTTATTTATTTTGTAAAAGCACTCTCTTTTGTCTTAACCCCCACTCCCATCCCACGCCTTCCACAGGCCAAGACGTGAATCTTTGCATTTCTGCGTGTCTCGCCAATGTGGAGTGTGCTACGAGTCTGTGTTTGAATTTAAATAAATGCTATCCATTATGTGTCTCATCCTGCCACTAGCCATTTCCCCCAGCACTGTGCTTTTAAGAGCTCCTCTGCATTTCTGTGTGTACATCTGGTCCCCCATTTTGACTATACCATGCCACCTGCCACCATTGCCCATGGCATTAACCAGTCCTCCTCCCTCTAGGTGAGCACCCATCTGCCTGTCCTTCCAAGGACTGTCAGACAAGCCTTTCTCTGGGACTCACATCAGGAAGAGAGCCCTGGGGCATCAGTCACCCTCCCCTCTTGATAGGATTCAGTACTGCCAGATTGTGGGCTTGTGAATCAGCACCCTAGCAGCCCTTGCTGTTTGGCAATCCCTGCAGCCACATGAACACTTGGCATTCCCCTTCCTTTTAATGTTTACAAGCTAAATGGGTGTAAAGTGGCAGCACACTGTTGGTCCCTTTTCCCTGATGTCAAACAAGCGTGAACAGCTCTGTGCCTGTTAGCCTTCTCTGGGCTTGGTCTGGAAATTGCTTGAATCTCTGTCTTTTTTTGGAGAGGTGGGGTGTCCCCAGCTTTACATCTTTCTCCTTTTTTCTCCTGTTTGTGTCCCAGTTTGTTACTCTTTTCATCACCATGAACAAATACCAGAAAGAAGCAACTTAAGGGAAAGAGAACTTATTTCCGCTGACAGTTTAAGGCTTCACTATGGTGGGAGTGAACGTTCTTACCTGGGACAGCTGGGTTGGTTGGTTTCTTTGCACCAGTAGTCAGGAAGACAGGGGCTCTGGCCAGAGTGAGACTCAGGTCAGGCTGTGACCCATAACACCCATTCTCCAGTGAGCCACTACTTCCACCAAGGCCTCCCTCTGAAGTTTCTACAGCCCGCCACTCGCCACCGACAGTGCTATCTAGGGATCAGGTGTTCAAATGTATGAGCTTATGGGGTATTTCCCATTCAAATACTAATGTATGTCCTTCTATGTCTGAAACTACTGCCAGCTGCCCTCTCTCCATGCCACACATCCTCACCCTCTATCATATTCCAGCCCATTCTTGACAGAGAGAGAGAGAGAGAGAGAGAGAGAGAGAGAGAGAGAGAGAGAACAGGCGCTGTCCTCAGGGACTTCTTTGCTGACTGACGGGGTGGGGGATTTATTAGGACAGGAAGAAGTATACACAGTGTGTGTCGGCATACAAGCCTTCTTCGACTTGGTCTACCACAGCAGCCATGTTCTGCAGAGCCCAGCTCTACCCTAGCCAGAAACCCTGCCTCTACTACACAGCCCTCTCCTTTCTCCTGCTGCCCCAAGAGCTCTGATTTCTCTTTCTGTCTAGCCCAGTGGTTCTTAACCTGGGAGTCAAATTACCCTTCCACACGGGCTGCATATCAGATGTCTTGCATATCAGATATTTATGATTGATGATTTCTAACAGTAGCACAATTACGGTTATGAAGTAGCAATGGAAATACTTTCACGGCTGGGGTCACCACAATATGAGGAATTGTTTTAAAGGGTGGCAGCATTGGAACGGTTGAGAACCACTGCTCTAGCCTCTGCCCACTTGGACTGATGGCCAGGTTCCATTTCCTTTGTTCCTGACTTTGCTTGTGGCTCAAGGATGCCCTGTGATCCTTCGTTGTAGGAAGGATCTGCTCATCTATCTGGGCTTCCTTTCCTATGCACTGGGAACAGAAAGGCTAGCCTGCAGGTATGTAGATGTGTCTGATGGAGGAGGATGACATTTTCCTCTCGCATTCAGGAGGGATCCTGAGAGGGTGCTGCTGTATGAAGCCCACGATGTCCTGCTACAGGGCTTCTGCCTTGGCAGATGGCAGTCAAATATCAGAATCAGTGGTGTAGTCCTGTCTGAAAGCCACTGTACGTTCCTGCCTTTAGCCTCAGATTACCTAAGTAACTAACAATCATGGCCACCATTTGGGGCATGCAGAAGGGGTTACAAATAAAATAAAAGGCAGCTAGATTCTTCAGGGATCCACAAGGATGACCCCAACTAAGAATCTAGGCAGTCATGGAGAGGCTGTCTTTGTTGCCTTTCCACTATAACGAGATCAATGACTACCTTAATTGCCATCCTAGAGCCTTCATCCAGTAGCTTATGGAAGCAGAAGCAGACACCCACAGCTAAGCACTGACTCATACTCCTAGAATCCAGTTGTAGGGAAGGAGCAGGGATGAGCAAAGGGGTCAAGACCAGGCTGGAGAAACCTATAGAACCAGCTGACTTGACCTAGTGAGAGCACAGGGATCCCAGTCGTAAAGCTGGGGAATCAGCATTGGACTGGACCAAGCACTCTGAATGTGGGTGCCAGCTAGGAGGCCTGGGCAGTCTATGGGACCTCTGACAGTGGAGCCAGTATTTGTCCCTAGTGCACAAATGGACTTTGGGAGCCCATTCCCTATGGAGGAATACTATTGCAGCCCAGATACACAGAAGAGGGCCTAGGCCCTCCCCAAAATGATATGACAGACTTTGATGATCCCCTGTGCAGGGCCTCACTATCTTTGGGGAGGGGTGGGTGGTGGGTTGGGGGCCAGTGTGGGCATGGGAGGATGGGAGATGAGGGAATGGGGGGATTGATATGTAAAATAAGACTGTTTCTAAAATAATAATAAAATAAAAAGTCAGCTAGATTCATACACAAAGATAAACATCCTAAGTTTTCTCGTTTCCTGAAAGTGTTTTTCCCTCTGCATTTCAGAAACATCTTGGTGTCATAAGACATTTGTCAGTTTGCTTCTTTTCTTTGTGCTTAAAAATAACTTTCCAAGGCAATGATCACATGGAAGGATGGTCAGTATCAGTAGTCATTAGGAAAATGCAGATAATAACAAATGTGGTAAGGATATGGAGAGACTGGAGCTCACACATTACTGGTGGGTGTGTAAAATGGCCACCGTGATTATGGCATGTTGCTGCAACACATTTGCAGACTCTTTTTTTTCTTGCCATGAAGTTTGCAAAGTCTCTATGATGTCCTTTATTTAGCTGATGGTTATTTATGAACCTGTCTTTGGTGAAGTCTTCTTCTGCCTCTTCCTTCCCTTCTTTACTTCTTTCTCCTTCTACCCTCCTCCTCTCCCTTATTCTCATCCTGCTCCTTCTATCCCTTCCTCTTTTTTTTTTAAAATAAAGTAAATAGCTGTGGTGGCAAACTATCTTTCATGAACATTGAAAGGCCTGGGGGTATTCAGAATGAACAGAGACTTCCAGAGTCAACCTTCCTAGACTCAGGATTCATACATTAAATGTAGACTGCTCCCTGGTAGAGGTGGTCTAGTACTTTCTTGCATGACAGTGGCATTGTAGTGAATTTCCTGCACTGTTCCCATGGAAACACCTTTCACTAATACTCTGGTTGGTGTTGGCACTATTGGTAGAGTTATTGCCGTGGTGTTGGTGAATGGTCTGTGTTAGCTCAGTCTGTGTTAACGTTAGTGGTTACTTAGTGATGAGCAGCTAGTTAGGTTAGCAGTTAAAGTCTCGTATCAGTCAATGTTAATGCTGAGTGTTAGTAGTTAATGGGAAATTAGCTGCTAGTTAATGGTTAGTGGCAGTAAATGCTAGTTAGTGGCGAGGTATTACTTACCTAATGAAGCTTATGCTGTCAGCTGTGCTGGAAACGCTGGCTTTGGGAATTATGCATCTGGCTCTAGGGGTTTTATTGTGGTTATTTATTGGTCCCTTCTATTTTCATAATAGAACTTTAAATTCCCACCACTTCTGTAATCTACTCTGCGGCAGGTGCTCTGGAGACTTAGAATATATCTGTACATGGAAGTTCACCACAGATCTCTTGACTGGCAAACTCTGCCTCTCTCAGAAAAGGCAATGCTCATTCTGGCCACCAGGTGGCATAAGAATGGTGGCCAAGATTGGGACCTGGGTAGTTGGTACTTCCTGGATGTGGAGGACAGAGGACTCCCAGGATCTGGCTTGGGGCTCAACAAGTCCAAGAGGGCTGGCGGAAGAAGGGCGGGGGAGAGAGAGCCCTGGAAGAAGAGCCTTGCTGAGTAAGAACTGAATACGGAGAGAGAGCTATGAGGAGACAGGAGAATCAGTGTTCCATTGGGTCTCTGCGCAAGGGTCAGGCCTCAGGGAATTTCCCGGGGACCTAGAGTTTTTTGGTGGAAAATTCCTTATCCATTTTCCAATCCACATGCTCCTCTAGGGCACCTCTCTTCTGGTCCTGAGAGGAGTTTTGCATGGAGACAGAAAGAAAAGGAAGGATGGAAGGACAAGAAGGGACAGAGGGAGGGAGGGAAGAAGGGTGGGAGGGAGGGAGGGAGGGAGGG